ACTGGGCCTTTAGTATGTAATACTTTCAACAATAAAGATTTTTTAAAATGTCACCTCTGAAAGGCCTTTCCTGACTTCCCAATGGAAAGTCTCCCCCTTTCCCCACCATTTTCTAACACTTTAGAAACTACTGTATTGATTCTGTGGTTTTGGAGTTCCCTGTGTCACCCCATCCGCAACACCTACAGGAGAAAGCTGCTTGAGAGCAGGGATTCTTTTGCTGAGTTCAGCCTCCAAAACACCTTGGGACAGAGGAGATGCCGAAGAAATAGGGGTTGACTGACAGCCCTCAAGGTTGTGTCCCTGGGCTCCGACAAGGGTCTTGTTTGTTGCAGGGAGAGGTCCTCCCCTTAATCATTTACTCCCATCCTCCGCGGGGAGGGGGAGGGGAAGGGGGGCGATAGGGGGCTAGCTTAGCAGCATCCTTTACTTCCCCTCCCCCATTCTTCCCAGGCTCCCCTCCACCCATCCTTTCCTGACGCTCCCTTCCCTCCTCCCTTTCACGTTCTTCCTCCTCTTCTTGTCCTCCCCGTCCCGCCCCTCCCTCACCTCACACCCTCGCAGGTCCGACCTGTGCACGTCCTACGTGTCTCGCGCGCAGCACCCGACCGCAGGCGGAGGAGGAAGGATGGCGCTGCTGGCGATGAGCTTGGGGCTGGCGCTGCTGGCCACGCACCTGGCAGGTAACGCTCGCCAGCCAGCGTGGTCGCACCCGGCTCGTGGAGGAGTAAAGAGAGGGAGTCTCGCTGGCGACTGCCTGGATCCCGGCGTCCCTGGCGTCCCTCCAACACCCGTTACTGGCGGTTCCTGGGCCCGCTGCGGTCCTTGAGGAATGTGGGGGTGAGGGGGTGGCTGAGGACCAGGGACCCCCTTGCTCGGGCTTCATTCCCAGCTCCTTCTGGTGACACCCTGCTGTCTGCCTTTTCTCCCTTAAAGCAGATTTCTGGAGCCCAAGACAAGGAGCTGGGTTTTGGCGGACACAGTGGCCCTGCTGAACCCCAGCAGGAGATGTATGGGAATTAGGAACGGTGATCGCCAAGTGCATCGGGGTGTCTGTGGCTTATGAGAAAGGGGCTTCAGTCCAGCCAGACTTGAAGCCTTTTTTACAACGGAGTTCAAATGGTACACCTAATGCTAAGTTGTGCGCTCATTACCCTGAGCGACAGAGGGAAAGAATATTGTGAATTATTAGGAGCCACTTCTCTGACTTTTATTCCATAGCTCCGTAGTCCTTTCTCAAGCAAACCTATTAGGGCGGTCAGTTATGGAACCCGCACTGAAAGTTCTTTGTGTGCCTGCTAAGAGAGGTGCTAGAAAACAAGGGAATATCCTTTGGAGGTGGGTGTGGGGGTCAGAGGGGGTGGTTCAAGGAAGTTAAGTACTGGAGGGAAAGGAAGGTGTGCCCTGGATAGATCACAAGCTGGATTTTAAAAGCTCTTTACGTCCCTAACTGGTTTGGCTCAGTGGATAGAGCGTGGGCCTGCGGACTGAAGGGTCCCAGGTTCGATTCCTTGGTTGCGGGCACATCCCCAGCAGGGGGTGTGCAGGAGGCAGCCGATCTATGTTTCTAACTCTCTATCCCTCTCCCTTCTGGAATTGCAAGAATTGACCTTAATCACATACTTTTAAATGTCTGTTTTCTTCTTTCAGCCTCTCTGAACAATCAATTTGGTCATCCTTCAGGATATAGAACAGTAAGTAGGAAACCACTTATACTGTTTCTAATACAGTGAAGCCCACAACAGTTTGGGTTGGGGGCTAGCTTTCAGTTCTGACCTAATACTTTTGAAACTATTGACTGCTTTAGAAATCAGAGGCTTTGTAATACAGATAAAAAATGTAAATTTTTTGTTGAAAATAGCTCAGGTCTTGAAGGCCCCAGGCCTTTGTTTCCTTCACTACTTCCTCTAATGATTCAGAAAGTCCTTGACTTAATAGTTATGCCTTGCAGTCGACTTTTTGTACAGTACATTATCAAATTAAATTCAGTGGAAGCAAACAAAGATCAACCGAATGAGAATAAGGAAAAGCTATTTATTCAGAACTTGCTGTAACAGGGGAGTCAGCCATGACACTTGTATTTGGCAGAGACTCAACTAAGGTGGAGGCGTGGGAAAGCTTTCTAGTGGGAGAAAGGAAGGCTTCAGGTGTGCCCTGATTCGAGGCTGTTGGCATGGGGAAGTTGGAGTGCATGGGTTGGACATGTGGTTGGTTAGGAGTGCATATTTGGCTTTCTCTGATTGGTTCTAAAAGCAAATAGTGCATGGATTGGACATGTGGTTGGTTAGGAGTGCATATTTGATTTTCTCTGATTAGTCCTAAGTTGGAAGTGGGGACAAAAATTAGGGAGGTTGTCAGTTATTAATCAAATCCTGTCCATTTGGGGCCAAAAGTTACAGAGGTTATTGTTTAGCTTCTTTTTTTGTTGTTTGTTTGTTTTTTAAAATAATTAAATCTTTATTGTTCAGCTTATTACAGTTGTTTCTCTTTTTTCCCTCCATAGCTCCCCTCTACCCGGTTCCCACCCTGCCCTCTGCCCCCCCCTCCCCCCTCCACTGTCCTCATCCATACGTGCACGATTTTTGTCCAGTCTCTTCCCGCACCCCCCTGTTTAGCTTCTTGGACGGTCACTATAGGTAGCCATCTGACTTCTTCCAAGTCTGACTTAGAGCAGGCTGGCTTCCTGGTCTGGTTATTCTACATAATGAGTTGGTTTCCTGGGCAGGTGCTGCAGGTTGTAGGTCATATTTCTATTTTAATATCTGGTGTGGCATTGTCCATTTGTATATTCAGTCCATTCTCACAATGACCTTGTAAGATAGATAGATATTATTATTTTGCATATGGGATATTGACTGGGCTAGGCAGCTTTGAGTATTCAATTCAGATTAGACCTCTTCTAGGAAGCCTTCCCACCCTATTTTCTTTCTCCAAAGTGTATATAAATGCACTTTCTTCGTGTTTCCATTCAACCTAGACTGCAATGTCATCATTATGATAGTGTAGGGCAGGAAAAATAAATATCTTCTCTACCCTTCTAAGTTCTCAGCTGGGGTCCCTATGACAAAAGACAAATTAACAAGAGAAAAACAAACACGTTTATTAACATGTACATTGCACATATACATAGGAGCATGTAGAGAGAGTAACTCAAAGAGTTACTCTCTTGGAACTCTATCTTTAGCAAAGAGCAGTAAATGTGTAGCGCAAATGGCTTAAGCTTCCAAGGATGCAAACAATGGGGTAGTAAATGTATGGGAGGAAACTAATGGGGGAAGGTTTTTTTGCAGATCCCTCTGATGACATGTCTGGGCTGATAAGAGTAGAGTCTATCCAGTTAAGGAGAATTTGTATCCTGCCTTTAGGCAGAAAGGGGGGAGGGTAGAGGGAGCTTCTTCTGGATTGCCGCTTTTAAAACTGCCTTTTGGTCAAAATAGTTTTTATGTCAAAGAGTCATATTTTGGAGGGAACATATTCTGGTTTCCTTCAACAGGAAATGCTAAAATGCCACTCACCATGTGCCAAGCACTGTTCTAAGTGTTTTATATGTAGTAACTCAATCTTTTAAAACGCTATGAAGTAGGTAGGTATCATTGTTATCCCCTTGGCCACGGTCACATGGAAATGGTGGAGCTATGGTTGCAACCCAAGCAGTTGGACTGCAGATCCAGTGCTCTTCATTATCCCATCACAGCTTTGAATTGTAATTGCCTGTCTTCCCTCCGGTAAACTGTACTCTCTACTCCTGTGATCAAAGGTAATGTCTTATTTGTTATTTAGTGCCCAATTGTCAGCCCAGTAATACTTCTTGATGAGATGACTCAATTTTCTTGGGTTTGATTTTCTTTCAGAAAAATGAGGACAATCCCACCTCTTTCTCAGGGCTGGGATTAGGGTAAGGTAGATCAGGTGGCTAGAGTGCAAAATTAAGGAGGCACTCACTCTCAGGAGGCAAATACCACAGGACCCTGCTCTCTTTGTACAGGATTATTAAAAGGATGAATCATGCAAGAGACCTTTGTTTTTTCTTCCCGGTTTCCATTGCCACTGCTCCAGTTTATGGCCCTTATTATCTCTTACCCAGACTAGCATAATAGCCCTCCAGGCGATTTTCTTCAATCTTTAGTATCTCTACTTTCCTGCTCCTGCTACACACTGCTGCTGCAATGACTCTTCAGAATCCGTCCTCTGAGTACAGCATGTCTCTGCAAAATCTAGTGACTTCCCAGTTCCCATAGAGAATGTTTTATTTCCTTACTGCAGCCTCCCTTTCTACCTGTACCTTTCTACGCTTTCCCATAGCTTATGCCCTTCTATTCTTATGCTAGTGCCACACTGTTTTAATAATGGTAGCTTCATAGTAAGTTTTGAAATGGTGAAGTGTGAATCCTCCAACTTTTTCTTCACGCTTGTTTCAGCTTTTCTGGGCCTCTTGCATTTCTATTTAAATTTTAAGACCAGTTTGCCAATTTCTCCTGAAAAAAAAAAAAAAGGCATTTGAGATCTTGATAGGGATTGTATTGAACCTGGAGATCAGTTTGGGGATTATTGCTGTCTTAAGACAGTTAAGTCTTTTGATCCACGAATATCATGAATATGGGATGTCTTTTCATTTACGTAGGTCTTTAATTTCTTTCAATAACATTTTGTAGTTTTCAGTGTATAATTCTTAACTTTTATTATTATTCTTTTTTGGTTAATTCTCATCTGAAGATATTCTTCCATTGATGTTTAGAGAGAGTAGAGGGGAGGAGGAGAGACAGAAAGGGGGAAATATCAATGTGAGAGAGACACATCGATTGGTTGTCTCCCTTATGTGCCCCAACCAGGGCCAGGGATCGAGCATGCAACTGAGGTATGTGCCCTTGACTGGAATTGAACCTTGGACCCTTTGGTCCACATGGCGACGTTCTATCCAGTGAGCCAAACCAGCTAGGGCAATTCTTGTTAAATTTTATTCCTAAATATTTTATTATTTTTGATAGTATTATAAATGGAATTATTTTCTTAATTTTATTTTCAGATTGTTCATTGCAAGTGTATAGAAATACAATTGATTTTTATATATTGATCTTATATTCTCTAATCTTGTTGAATTTGTTTTTTAGTTCTAGTAGGTTTTTTTAAAATGTGGATTCCTTAGAACTTCCTACATAAAAAGATTTTGCCATCTTTGATTAGAGAAAACTTTATTTCTTCCTTTCCAATCTGGTGGCTTTTATTTATTTTGCTTGCCTAATTATCTTGGCTAGAACCTTCCATACAATGTTGAATAGAACAGATGAAAGTGAAAATTCTTGCTTGTCCCTGACTTTAGGGCAAAACCATTCAGTCTTTCACCATTCAGTAATGTCAGCTGTGGGGGTTTTTAGGGGTCCTTTATCAGGTTGAAGAAATTCTCTCCTGTTTCTAGTTTGTTGGATGTTTTTGTTGTGAATGGGTGTTGAATGATCCTTTAAATGAAACTGCTTTGCTCTCAGGTCAGACACTTCCTTCACCATTGTGCCTTTGCTCAATCTGTAATATTTCCTTGAGGTAGACAGTCTCTCAAACCTCTCTAAATTGTACCCATCCTGTAATACCACCATGTGTATGTCTTGATTCCCTTACTGGATGCTAAACCTCTTACAGGCAGGACTCAGTTTATCTTTGTATTTCTTATAACACCTATCTTAAAATCTTCGAGTATTCACTTATTGAATGAATAAATACAGGAATATGTTTGTTAAAGTATATAAAGACCTTTCTGAGGAAAAGTTTCAGAGTGTAAAGCTCAGAGAATTACTTAAAAGCATATCACATCCTTCTATAAAAATGAAAAGGATTCTGAGGAATAAGTAAGTTTGCCAGGTGGCCTTCCTCCAGACCAGCGGTTCTCAACCCGTGGGTCGCGATCCCTTTGGCAGTCGAACGACCCTTTCACAGGGGTCGCCTAAAACCATCCTACATATCAGATATTTACATTACGATTCATAACAGTAGCAACATTACAGTTATGAAGTAGCAACGAAAATAATTTTATGGTTGGGTCACAACATGAGGAACTGTATTTAAAGGGCCAGAAGGTTGAGAATCACTGTTCCAGACAGAGACTTCTTCTGAAGCTCTGAGGAACTGTCTGCCAGGGGCGACTTCCTACAGTTGGCTTCTTGTGGGGTATAATTTAGAGCCTCCCTAGATGATAAACTTATTCTGAGTTCCCCCCCCCCCCCCCCCCCCCCGGCACAAATTTGGGTAAATGAATAAAAGTAAGGGTTTATTGGGAATACTTTATTAATGAAATTATTTGACCTCATTGATAAGGGTGAAAAGTGTTTGCTCATACAGCCTTAGACCTCAGATCAGAGAAAATCCAGGAAGTGAGTAACCCCAATGTCATAGTTACATGGTAGGTATCCAAACATAGCTTTGAAGTCAGGAGACTCAGACAGACCTGAAACAGACTGGAACCCCACATTGCCTGCCAGCTGGGCAGGTTCCTCAAAGATCTGAAGGACATCAAAAGTCATATATTAGTCATTCTTTGAGATGAAAGCATTTGAAAACTCTTCTCAAACATAACAAAAACCTGAGTTTCAGGCATAGATTAATTTCGATTAGCTAGCTGTTTACCTGGTCATCTCTGAGAGAGTGGGACATAGCAAGATCTGTCTTAATTATACAGGGGAGGCAGGAAAGGTTAGCGCAAGGAGTTCCCTGAAACTGTGAGTGGAATTGTGTGTCTTTGTGCATTTTCCTTAGCTTTCATCAAGTAGAGCAGACTGAATGTCAAGATGACTGGGAGCAGCGGTTCCTAAACCCAGTCCTAACTGAATCAGAATTCAGGGACCTCTAGACACACAGATTCTACCCCTGGAGATTCAGATTGAGTAGGTCTGGGTTAAGGCCCCAAATATGTATTTTTAACAAGCTTCCAAGGTGACATGCACATACAGCCCTCTGTGGATCCACCTCAGGCTACTTGTCAAGGGTATAAAAACTCATTCAAATACCCTCACAAACAAATGACCCTCTCCTTTCTCTCTGAACAATTCCCACAGCATATCGACCACTCTCTGGTTGCCAATAGACTACTCTAGTAATAAAGTAGACTTTATTTCCCACAGTGGAATTGTAGTACCAAGACTCAAATGTGTGTGTTCACAAGCCTGATAGGCCAGTCGCCAGTTTTATTTTACTTAAACATGTACAGAAAACATTAACATGAATGTAAAGAAACAAAGTTGTGGTCCATATGAGAACTGTGTTGAATGCGTTTGAAAGACTTGCTAAAAGACAAATTGTTAAAAAAAATTGCTGTTGAATTAGGTGTAGATAAAACAACAGTAAAAATTTTTTAAAAAATTGTATAGTATGTTGTTTTTACAAGTGTCTTTAAATTCTCACTGTATTTTAAAACAGTAGTTCTCAACTGGGGGTAGTTTTGCCTCCAGAAGACACTTAGACTGTCATTTGACTGGTGGAAAGAGAACAGGGATGCTACTAAACATCCTACAAGACCAAAGACAGCCTCCCACAGGAAAGAATTATCTGGTCTTAAATGTGAATAGGGGTTGAGAAGTCCTGTTTTAAAGAAACCAAAGCAGGAAATTCTAGGTGATTTATTTATGAGTTTTACAGTGATAATCCACAGAATTCTTCTTAGTTGAAACATTCGAAGGAAAGGTCTTATCTCTTGTATTAAGATTAGATTAAAAAATAAAAATAAAACAAATAAAAAAAACATTAGATTCAACTATACCTAACAAGGACTCAAAGTAACAGTGCCCAGTGCTGCCCTCCTGAAATGTGGCCTTTGCCCTCCTGGCCCAAAGGTGAGTGCTCCGTGTGCCCAGCAGCAGGATGGAGGAACAGACAAAGAAGAATCCAAATTGTGGGGGAAAGCAGAAGACAGGTGACAGCTTTTTAAAAATACTAAGGCTCCCAGAAGCTACTGCATAATAATTCCACAAATTATTGGCCTGACCTTAATCATATGATCATACCTAGCATTACAGATGACCAAATACATTGCTTATTCATTGTCTTACATGAAAAGATGGGCAGTTTTATGGAAACTAAGGAGAAAATAAACAAATGGGATTACATCAAAATAAAAAGCTTCTGCACAGAAAAAGAAACCATAAACAGCCCTGACCAGTTTGGCTCAGTGGCTAGTGTCGGTCTGTGGACTGAAGAGTCCCAGGTTCGATTCCGGTCAAGGGCATGTACCTTGGTTGCGGGCACATTCCCAGTAGGGGGTGTGCAGGAGGCAGCTGATGGATGTTTCTCTCTCATGGATGTTTCTAACTCTCTATCCCTCTCCCTTCCTCTCTGTAAAAAATCAATAAAATATATTTTTTAAAAAAAGAAAAGAAACCATAAATACAACAACAAGAGAGCCTACTGCATGGGAGAACATATTTGCCAATGATATCACCGATAAGGGTTTAATCTTCAACATTTATAGGGAACTCATACAACTTAACAAAAGGAAGATAAAAAATCCAATTAAAAAATGGGCAAAAGACCTAAATAGGTACTTTTCGAAAGTGGACATACAGAAGGCCAAGAGACATATGAAAATATGCTCAAAGTCATTAATCATCCAGAGATGCAAATCAAAATGACAATGAGGTACCATCTCACACCTGTCAGAATGACTATCATCAACAAATCAACAAACAACAAGTGTGGCGAGGGTGTGGAGAAAAAGGAACCCTCCTGCACTGCTGGTGGGAATGCAGACTGGTGCAGCCACTGTGGAAAACAGTATGGTATTTCCTCAAAAAGTTAAACATGGAACTCCCATTTGACCCAGTAATCCCACTTCTAGGACTATATCCCAAGAAATCAGAAACACAATCAGAAAGGATATATGCACGCCTATGTTCATAGTAGCACAATTTACAGTAGCTAAGATTTTGAAACAGCCTAAGTGCCCATCAGCAGATGAGTGGAATAAAAAACTGTGGTACATCTACACAATGGAATACTACGCTGCAGTAAAAAAGAAGGAATTCTTACCATTCACAACAGCATGGATGGGCCTGGAGAGCATTATGCTAAGTGAAATAAGCCAGCTGGAGAAAGATAAATATCACATGATCTCATTTGTGGAATATAATGAACAACATAAACTGATGAACAAAAATAGATCCAGAGACACAGAAACATCGAACAGACTGTCAAACCTCAGAGGGAAGGCAGGGGTGGTTGGAGGGGTGGGGTGGGAGGCTGGTAAGAGATCAACCCAAAGACTTGCATACATATAAGTATAACCAATGGACACAGATAATAGGGGGGTGAGGGCATGTGCTTGGGGGTTGGGGGTGGGGGGGAGAGGTCAATGAGGGAAAAAAGAGACATCTGTAATACTTTAAACAATAAAGAATTTAAATTAAAAAAAAAGATGGGCAGTTTTATTTCCACTTATGTTTTAGGATAAAATGTTTAGAGTATGTATTATTTTTTAATCATTGTTTCTTTGTTTTAATTTACTTTTTCAATCAAATGATCAACTACTACTTTTCCCAATCTTACTGGATAGGAAGGCATTTCCTCTGCCTGTGAGAGCAGCCCTAGACGGCATCATCTTAGTGAGCCTTGTGCGGCAAGAACACATCGTGCTCCTAGGTGAAGCGTGGCGTGCTGAGCAGAGGATGGCAAGGGCCAACAAGACCTCTTGACTTTAGAGTCTGGCCCATGGCCGTCCTCTTCGGTCTTTATAAATCCAGATTATATCCATAGAAAGATGCATTTCATTTATTCAGATTGTTAAAACGCGTGGCTTCTTTTATTCTGAAGCGGAAAGGTGAATACCATTTACCAAAACAAATAAAATTCCTTAAGTTTTGGGGAGCAAGAAGTTATATGTGGGTTTTTGACTGTATGTGAGGTTTGTGCCCTTAACCCCCTTGCATTGTCATCTCTCTCTCTCTCTCTCTCTCTCTCTCTCTCTCTAAATATATATATATATCAGAAACACAGCAGGCCATATATTTAACCTTTTGTTAAAGTGGGACTCTGCGTACCATAGTCTTATCACGGTGACTAGTTCCAGTCCTGGCCTTGCTGGACACTAGTGGCTAAGAACAAGACAGAGTACCTTTCTGGCCTCAGTTCCATCAAATCAGAGGCTTGAGTTCCATGACCCCATATCAGTTTCTTCAGGCTGCTGTGATAAAGTACTATGGACTGGGGTGGTTTAAACAACAGAAATTGATTGTCTCATAGTTCTAGAGGCTAGAAGTCCAAAGTCAAGGTGTTGGCAGGGTTGGTTCCTTCTAAGGGCTGTGAGGGGGAATCCGTTCCATGCCTGTCTCCCAGTACCTGGCAGCCTCAGCCATTCCTTTGCTTGTAAATGGTGTTCTCAGTCTTCATGTAATTTTCCCTTAGTGCGTGACTCTGTCCAAATTTTCCCTTTTTATAAGGGCATCGGTCATATTGAATTGGGACCCACTGTAATAGCCTTGTTTTAAACTGATTATTGTATAAAGGCCCTATTTCCAAAAAAGATCACATTCTGAGGTCCTGGAGGTTAGGATTTTAGCATATCTTGTTGGGGAGGCCACAATTCAATCCATAACAACCTAAGGTCTCATTCTGAACCTGTTGATTTCTTTCTTTCTTTTTATTTTTGAATAGTTTATTGATTTTTTAGAGAGAGAGGAAGGGAGAAGAGAGAAGCATTGATGTGAGAGCATAACATCAATCAGGCTGCCTCCTGTACGCCCCCCATTGGGGATCGAGACCTCAACCCGGGCATGCGCTATAATCAGGAGTCAAATCAGCCACCTCTCAGTGCAGGGGATGACACCCAACTAACTGAGTCACACCGGCCAGGGCATGCTGCTTTCTTCAGTGCTGGTGGTTAAATGCCAGTATCTTAAAAAGTCCAGACTAAAAGATTAGCTTCCTGAGTGTGTCTCAGCATTATGCCAAGGGATTAAGATGCCTGGAATAGAATATTCACACGGAAATAGCAGTGAAGTACTAATTATGAGGCTAGAGGATAATAAAGTAGGCATGGTGGCATGCCTTGGACTTCCATTTAAAAATCAGCCAACCTAACCTTTTCTTATTTACGTTGGTATTGAACCAATGTTTTAACATTGCATCTGATTTTTGCATTAGAAAAATCTTTTTTTTTGGTATGTGTGTAAAATAGATTTTTCTAGGGTGTTTCTAGGAAATCTAGGTGTTTCAAGTGGCTCTCTAATTTCTGTTCTCCTTTCTCTTTTCTAGCCAAACTGTAATCAATATAGATTACCAGGATGTCCCAGAGACTTTAACCCTGTATGTGGAAGCGACATGTCCACTTATGCCAACGAGTGTACTCTGTGCATGAAAATCAGGTAACATATTTTTACAGTGTAGAATGGCCACATTTTCTTTTGTCCTTGAATTTTGATTACTTACGAAGTAGTGGCTCCTTTCTTGGATATAAGAATCGCCTGCAACATAAGTAGTTGTATTTTCACACTGACATTTAAAAATATACCAGAATCCTTCAGTGCATTGTTTAGATTGAAGTTGGAGAATGACATGTGCAACTGTAGACCGGATAATCGAGTTATGTTACTATCCATGAATGGGTGATTTTCCAAAATTAAGAGTATATTTAATAGTTAAGCGCTGTGGAATATTAAATGTTCTTTTAAATTCAGAGGGCATGTGCTGGTGACCTGTGTAACCTGCAGCATTAGTTGGGCAATAGATGTTAATAACTTTACCTAGAGAATGCCAAATCATAAATGTATTATGCCTGGCTGAGGGACTGTGACTCTTCTCAGGTATGCTGCTTTGCATTTCAGGGGTCCATTCTCTGACCTCAGTCTTCAGTGAGCTTCCTAGGCAGTGATGGCGAACCTATGACACGCGAACTCATTTTTTTGGTTGATTTTTTTTTGTTAAATGGCATTTAAATATATAAAATAAATATCAAAAATAAAAGTCTTTGTTTTACTATGGTTGAAAATATCAAATAATTTCTATATGTGACACGGCACCAGAGTTAAGTTAGGATTTTTCAAAATGCTGACACGCCGAGCTCAAAAGGTTTGCCATCACTGTTCCTAGGTCCTCTCAGAGTGATTCTTTGGGGATAGTGCCTTGTACCCTATGGGTAGAGAAGAAAATGACAGAGTTGGGGCTTTCACCCTCATTGTTTTTTTCATTTAGCTTTAAAAATGATTACATAAATATTGCCCAAGAAGGACTGTAATATACAAAGTCATAGGACTTTTTTCAAAGATATGTTTTTACTGGAGGCCAGGTGCATGAAAATCGTGCACTGGAGCGGGGAGGTCTCAGCTTGACCTGCGCCCTTTTGCAGTCTGGCAGACCTCAGGGGATGTCCAACTGATGGCTTAGGCCCACTCCCCACTTAAGCCATCAGTCGGACATCCTTAGCGCTGCTGCGGAGGCGGGAGAGGCTCCCGCCACCACTGCTGTGCTCGCCAGCCGTGAGCCTGGCTCAGGGCTTCTGGCTGAGCAGCGTTCCCCCGTGGGAGCACACTGACCACCAGGGGGCAGCTCCTGTGTTGAGCATCTGCCCCTGGTGGTCAGTGCACATCATAGCGACTGGTCATTCTGCTGTTCGGTCGATTTGCATATTAGCCTTTTATTATATAGGATTGATTTTTAGAGAGAGAGTAAGGGAGAGGGATAGAGAGATAGAAACATTGATGAGAGAGAAACATCATCAATCAACTGCCTCCTGCACACCCCCTATTAAGAATCAAGCCCACAACCCAGTATCCTGACCGGGAATCGAACCAGTGACCTCTTGGTTCCTGAGTCGATGTCCAACTGCTGAGCCATACTGAACAGGCTGACATGGGTCTTTTTAATATAAGTACTGGGACAGTGTTAGTATGCTAGGTAATAAATGTGTTTTTATGGTTGTTCAATTTGCAGGGAAGATGGTCATGATATAAAAATAATCCGAAATGGACCGTGCTGATGGAGCATTTTACAGAAGAGAAATTGGAGAAACCACCTTCAACTACACACTAGATGAACTGCATTTTCTCTTTTTCTCTTTTCCTATGTTTCTTTGCATGAGATTTGTTAACTCACGTTTTCCGAGAGGAGATGTGGAAGACAACCATGTGCAGTAACTGATGATTAAAGCAAAAAGCAAAACAAAACAAAATCGTTGTTTCTTGGCTTTTGCCCCTTGAGTCAAGCTTATTGCTCAGGTGGCTTGTGCATTGCTTTATTTAGTTGGAATAAAGTAAGCATTGTTCAATTATTGCTGTTCTCTGTTGACTATCCATTCTCACTCAGCAGCAGCCTCTGGGTGGCTCATTTCCTCTCAAGAAAAGGTGAATTTCACGATGGGAGAAGTGGTCATTGTTGACAGGCAAGATTAATTTTAGTTCACCATCTCCCTGCATCTTGGGTAGGGATATGTAACTAGCACCGTGTTCTGCACATGGCAAATAACTGAAATACATGGAGCTGACTGTAACCTGAGCTGGTAAAGTCAAAGAATTATGCAAGTAAAATATGTATGCCCTGGTGGGTTTGGCTCAGTCAATAGAGCATTGACCCGAGGACTGAAGGGTCCTGGGTTGAAATCCAGTCAAGGGCATGTCCCTGGGTTGCAGGCTCAATCCCTGGTCCCAGTTGGGGTGCTTGCGGGAGACAACCAATTGATGTGTCTCTCTCACATGGATGTTTCTCTCTCTGTCTCTCTCCCTCCCTCCCACTCTCTCTAAAAAATCAATGGGAAAATATCCTTAGGTGAGGATAAAAAATAAAATTTAAAAATATTTACTAGATTCTATAACTCCTTTAAAAATATATATTAATCTTAGAGAGGAAGGGAGAGGGAGAGAGAGAGAGAGAAACATCAATGATGAGAGAATCATTGACTGGCTGCCTCCTGCAGACCCCCTACTGGGGATCAAGCCTGTAACCCCAGCAGGTGCCCTGATGGGGAATTGAACCATGACCTCCTGGTTCATAGATCAATGCTCAACCACTGAGCCATGCCAGCCAGGCTCAATAACTCCTTTCAAAACAGTTTTCCTTCCTTGTTAATGCAGGTGTTTGGCTTGTCTTCCTTTTAGAGCAGCGCTTAACCCCAGGGTGACTTGCCCCCAGCGGACATTTGGCAGTATGTGTAGAGGCATTTTTGGTGTCACATCTGGAGGGTGGATGCTACTGGTAGGTAGTGGGTAGAGGCACCGATGCTGCCAAACATCCTACAATGCACAGGACTACTCCAAACAACAAACTTTTCTAAAATGTTGAAGTTGAGACACCCTGTTTTAGAGCTTGATGCAACATAAAGAATAAACAAAACAATAATAAAAGTGACCAGGGATTAATTTAGAATAATAATGTGGTCCAGGTAGAGGGTTTTGAATCAAGTCCTGGGTTTAAGTGTATGATTATAGTACCAGGAAACCATGAGGCATGAGGTAAGAGGTGTCTGGGAGAGTGTGCCGTGGAAACAGTATGGCTTCCTGAGGTCACCTAAACCTGAGTTCGAATTCTGACTCCAACACTTACTTGTACTTCAGTTTTCTTCTCTGGAAACTGGGGATAATGCTCAATTTATGGAGCTGCTGTGAGGAAACTGCTTTGCACAGTGCTTGGCACATAGAAACCACTGTAATAGTAGTTACTGTGGTTTCAAGCACCCTTCTTAGAAAGAAGCTGACCAACTTGACCAAGGTTATAGAACACATTTGAAGTAGCCTGGTCTAGAAGCCTGGGTCTCCAGGCTCCCAGACCTTTGTTCTCACATGGAATAGAGGCAATGAAGCAGGAAGTTGTACAACATAAGTGTGCCAAATTAATGTCCTGTAATTTTTTTATTTTTCAATTAAATTATAGTTTTCTTTCAATATTATTTTGTATTGGTTTCAGGTTCCCATAGTTATGTTTGGTCTAAAAGTTTTATAAAAGTAGGATAAGCTTTTTGGAAAATTAAAAAATACATAGAAATATAAAAATAAAAAGTGAAACTCTTGCCTATCCTAGCCTCCAGAGGTAAGCAATATTAACCTTTTTGCTCTCCCTAAGATATGTGTCTATATAAAATCTCTCTCTCTCTCTCTCTCTCTCTCTCTCTCTCTCTCTCTCTCACACACACACACACACACACACACATAGACACACACACACCTGCCTTGTAAACTTGCTTTTCTCCCTCTATTTGGGTTTTCACATCAATGGATGTACTTTCTTCTCTTTAAAAACAACTTATTATTATTGCTAGAGGCCCAGTGCATGAAATTCATGCACTGGGGGGGAGGGGGGGGGGAGGTGTCCCTCAGCCCAGCCTGCACCCTCTCCAATCTGGGACCCCTCTCAGGGGATGTCCCACAGGGATTGGGCCTAAACCGGCAGTCAGACATCCCTCTCACAATCCGGGACTGCTGGCTCCCAACTGCCCTCCCCTGCAGGCCTGGTCACCCCCAACTGCCCTCCCCTGCCAGCCTGGTCGCCCCTAACTGCCCTCCCTCCCTTGCAGTCCCAGTCGCCCCCAACTGCCCTCTCCTGCTGTCCTGATTGCCCACAACTGCCCTCCCCTGCCAGCCATCTTGTGGCCACATGGGGGCGGCCATCTTGTGCAAGGGCATGGTGGTCAATTTGCATATTACCTCTTTATTATATAGGATGCCATAAGTTACCCAGTCTCTGTTATCTATATTTGGATTGTTAGGGTTTTCTTGGTTGAAAGTAGGAAAATCCCAAGTCAAATTAGTCTAAGCTAAAGGGAGAGTCAATTGTTTCTTGGATATAGCAGAGAACTAAGCACATGTCCCAAAGTCACATATATGCATTAATTGAGCAAGTTATGATCTGACTCAGTTTCCTCATCTGTAAAGTGAGGATGATGATAGTACCTGTTTCATAGGGATCTTGTGAGGAGTAACTGAAATAACAGGTGTAAGGTGCTTAGAACACTTGAAATGTAGGCTTTATTATAGAAAACACTACCTTAAAAAATAACTTGCCTTTTTTACTTATCCCTGACCCTACACGAATATATCATGGATAGCTTTACATGTCAGTGCATACAGATCTATTTTATTTGAAAAGTGACTGCATTGTATTCTATTATATAAACATAACATAATTTATTTATGCAATTTCTTAGTGATGGACATTTAGGTTATTTCTCATTTTTCACTATCACAAATTATGTTGCAATAACATCTTTGTACACATATTCTTTATTTGTGCAAACATTCTGTAGTATAAATTCATAAGTTGGAAGTACTTGGTTATAAAAGAAACATATCTAAAGTGTTGAAAAGGACTACAAAACATTTCTTTCTGAAAATTTATCTGCTCTCTATTTATGTACTCTCCGTGGTAAATGAGTGCCTGGTCTTTTCACCACCATTGCTGTGTAATACAGACAGAGCTGTCCTGAATTTTCTCAGTCAGAGTTGTATGGCAAATTCAGATTTGTATCCATCCTCTATTGAAGAATTCCATTTTTCCTCCTCTCTCCAAAATATTCTCATTATAAAAGTGAAATGTAGTAATTATAACCACCCAAAGTAAACGGTGAAAAGAATATTCCAATGGTCTATGGAGATTTCTAGAACAGAAGCTCCCAGAGGATAGAGATCTTGCCTGTCTTGCTCATCATGGCATCTCCCATGCCTGAGACCGTGCTTAGCCCAGTGCATATTTGTTGATTGTAGGAATGCCCAGAAGGCCTCATAAGATAATGACAATAAAACCACTAACTTCCCTGACTTTCCTTCCTATCCCAAAACAGGCAAGCTAACTAAGACACACCCACACACCACAAGGGAAATAAGGTTTTGACTCTTGTCCAACAGTGAATTTCATTTTTTTTTCTTTGTTACTCTGAAAAAGAGAACAACACCGAATGGCTAGGTGATCTTAAACAACTCTAGGAGCATACCTTATACTGGGTTTAGATTTTTTATTAAGTAGCCACTTAGCTCCTCCTATAATATCCAGATCTAAGCCTTTGTTTCTATATTTTCCATATTTTTTTGGGGGGGTGGCAGCATATCTACACGGCACTTAGAGATAGGACTAATTACATTTGAGAGCATTTGCCAATAACTTTCATGTTTAGACTACCCAATTTCCTAACTCCCACATCTTTAGGGCGGGAAGCTTTATTTTTCTGTCTTGAAAATGAGATGTTCAATTTAATGTGTCGAATAGTTGCATTCATTACAGTATTCTTAGTCCACAGATTTGAAATTATAGCCAAATTTTATGAGGTTCTATGCTCTTAAGTACTATCCTTTATGTTTTATATTGTTTCCGAGAAAAAGACAACTTTGTTTCTTAGTTCTCTAGCAAATTCAAACTTAATTTTCCTGTTGTGGAGAAGAGATCATGTTTACATGACATTTATGATAAAATTAGATTTCATAGTTCTTGTGGCTTTTTTTCTGACTCCCAGTAAAACTAGGTTTCCTTATATGGAGAGAGAGAAAAATTAGGGAGGAAATACATCAAGACACTAACAAAATTAAATAATTGTACACAAATTTTCCTTCAAGAACTATACATTATTTTGATAATTATAATGAACTATGCCTTTATAGAAATCGGTGGGAAGAAAAGTTATCATTCAAAAAGCCATGAGATGAAAGGAAATCTTACTTGCACCAATAAATCTAAGAGCCAGAAATAGCCCACCAACGTTCTTCCCGGTCATGGACTAATTCATAGCCAGCTCTGAGACACAAGGGGGCAGTGGCTCCCCGGGAACTTGGGCTGCCAGCTGCTCAAACGGCTCCTTCAGAAGCCAGCTAAGTGATGCGTCTCTAATTTGTCGGCACTGTCCCAAACCTGGGAGAGTCCCATTTCACTTGCAAACTGCTTCTTAAATAAAGGCGCCTATGCTTTGATTCTTGGAAGACATCATTTCTATGAATGCAGCGGAATGAATGGTCCAGCTGGAGTTCATGTGGGGTAAAGGATCTAGGCCAGTGGTCGGCAAACTCATTAGTCAACAGAGCCAAATATCAACAGTACAACGATTGAAATTTCTTTTGA